TGATGGAACGCCTCTCAGTTGACTATGGAAAGAAGTCAAAATTAGAATTTGCCATATACCCAGCTCCCCAAGTTTCCACTGCTGTTGTTGAGCCATATAACTCCATCCTTACTACCCACACCACACTCGAACATTCTGATTGTGCCTTCATGGTTGACAATGAAGCGATCTATGATATTTGTCGTAGGAACCTGGACATTGAACGCCCTACCTACACCAATCTCAACCGTCTAATTGGTCAGATTGTCTCCTCGATCACTGCCTCTCTCAGATTTGATGGTGCCTTAAATGTGGACTTGACAGAGTTCCAGACAAACCTGGTGCCTTATCCCAGAATCCACTTCCCCTTGGTAACTTATTCTCCCATTATTTCAGCAGAGAAAGCTTACCATGAGCAGCTCTCTGTCTCTGAGATTACTAATGCTTGCTTTGAGCCATCCAATCAGATGGTGAAGTGTGATCCACGCCATGGCAAATACATGGCCTGTTGTATGTTATATCGTGGGGATGTCGTCCCCAAGGATGTCAATGCTGCTATTGCTGCTATCAAAACCAAGCGTACCATTCAGTTTGTTGACTGGTGTCCTACTGGTTTCAAGGTAAGTGCTGCTAATCAAATTCAAAACTGATTTTGCTCATTTGTAGATGTATAGCTTGCTGAACAAGGATATAATCCACAGCTCACATGAAAAGACAAGTGGAATTAAGATGACTTCAGGGCATGCACATTATTAGCTGAAGTGGTCTTTGATGGGAGAGAGCTTACCTTAGCTGTTGCAGAAGTTGCTTTATGCTGATGAAAAAGGAAATTGTATCCCCTTTGATCACAAAAAAGGCTACTATGGGGATCATGACACTTGCGCATACAAAAGGTAGAAGGGCCAGCATCTGTAGTAAGGGGAAGTGGGTGAATGAGTGAAAAATATAGCAGGATCCAATCTATATTACACATGGTTCTGTAAATGAGTTTGCTAATTTTGAAATCTATGTTATTGATTATTATTGTCATGTTAACCTCAATAGATTATTTGGAGGGGTTAAAATGGAAAATTCAGCTTTTAATTATATTTAAGTTATAAAATAGTATGACCAACTCTAGAAGGGTGAACTGTTAACTATGTTGAACAAAGTTTGAGCCCAGTGGCACCTTTAAGACCAGCAAGATATTCACGGTATAAGCTTTCATGTGCAAGCACACAGTTATGTTATATGCTCTACTGGTTGCCTGTGATAACCTGCTAAGTCACATTCCACATCTTTTAGAAAAGTTAATCTGAAAACCGCTGCAAGGGAAACCGGACTAGGAAGATGCTCCTCAGGTTGAACTGCAGTTAGGCATTTATGTTTAAAATAATTGGAAACCTGAATTCTTTATACTGCAGACTGGTTTGAACTCTAGTCTGCTGTTCTCAAATTCCAAATGCAGCTCCTTATTTTTGTCTGCTGTTGTAGAAAAGTCTTAAAATATATGTCTTTGTTGCTTTTTAGGTTGGAATTAATTACCAGCCCCCAACAGTAGTTCCTGGTGGTGATTTGGCCAAAGTCCAACGTGCAGTTTGCATGCTCAGCAATACTACAGCCATTGCAGAAGCCTGGGCCCGCCTGGACCACAAGTTTGACTTGATGTATGCCAAGCGTGCTTTTGTCCATTGGTATGTAGGAGAAGGAATGGAGGAAGGAGAATTCTCTGAGGCCCGAGAAGATCTGGCTGCACTTGAGAAGGATTATGAAGAAGTGGGGACAGACTCTATGGATGGTGAGGATGAAGGCGAGGAATACTAAACTTCAGAAAAATCTAATGTATAACTGTTGCCACTTGCTGCCTTGCCTGTAATAAAGTAAATGGGAAGCACATCTCTTAAATGTAAACTGTACACCTAGCATTCCATGCCAGAGTGTTTGGAATAAATGCTTATAACCAAGTAATCTTCCAGAAGATCTTGCAAGTGCTAAAGTATTTAGCTGGATACCAATTAAATTACCTTTCATTCCATTAACCAGTGCTTCCTAAAAGATTTAAATGCCCCCTGATTAGAAAAATTCCTGGCTACAGGCCTGGATGCTGAGGATCCATTACGGTAGTGGTGGAGCTTTCGTCTGGTGCAAAGGAGCCAGCCCTGGACGTATCAGCAGATGGCTCTGGTCCTCAAGGAGAACACCATCACTAGTGGGAATAGCTAGACAGGCTCAAAACCCTTGAATGTCCTATTCCTGTTTCATCGCTTCTCGGCCTTTTGGCTAAGATCCAGTGTGGTGTGTGTGTTTCAGCAGGGTTGCTAGCCTTTGCTAGCCCTTGGGAGCACTGGGCGAGGTGGGGATTGTGATGTTGGCCTCATACAACACTCCAGGGCAGAGGTGTCAAACTCATTTGTTATGAGGGCCGGATCTGACATAAATGTCACTTTGTCGGGCCATAAAACATGTGTGCCATAAAACATAATGCCAGGTACTGGAGATAGAAACTGTATAAAGGACAGCAGCTGGTAAGGTCCGAGTTGGTGTATCCTCATTGCAAGGCCCCATGGGCTGGGAGGGGGGTGCAGATGAAAACCTATATGGGCAGACTGGAGAGCCAGTGATGCAGCACTGGGCAGATACTCCCACAATGCCCGATTGCTGCAGACAAGGTTGTTCTGCTGTGTTGAAGCTACAATAGAGTGGCTCCACCCACTCCCCACCAGCACTTCCTCCTTTGCAACAGTTGCTCGCCGGCCGCATAAGAGCCCTGGGCGGGCCGCATCCGGCCCCCGGGCCTTATGTTTGACACCCCTGGTCTAGGGATTTCCCAGATCTCTATGGTTCTTACCATCGAGATCTGGGGAATTCCTAGAGTAGTTTGCAATGTTGTGATGTCCAGTTACGTGACTGGAAGTTATGTCATGGCACCACACAATACCAATTTCTCCCCCGATTTTCTCCCATAGCTTTACTGAGCAGCAACGGGGCTTGGGGGGGCAGGAGATATCTCATCAAATCAGAAGACTTGGCAGCCCTCTGGTTCAGCCTAAAAATTCCCATTTGATTGCTAATTTTTCCCCCGGTACTGATTTGAAGTCGATGCATTTGAATGTTACTTGTGCATCAACAAATTGGCATTATAGAAATAGATTGTGTTATGTGGTAAATATAAATAGCACATATATTGTTTATAAAAATTTATAGTTACTTCGTATGTAATCTCCCTTTCTCACGGAGACTTCAGGTGGATTGCAGAATTAGAAAAACGGTGCCAAAGACGCCAGTCAAATACATACGACAAACAACGCAACAGGACCAGATTACAACACCAGTGACCAATGCAACAAAAACAAAAACAGTACAATACATCCAATAAGCAATGCAACATTTTAAAGAACTGCCTAATTTTTCCCCCAGCCCCCAAGGCATTTCACGTGCACAAAATCACAAAACCAAAAACAGAAGGCATCCAAAACCGTCGTCAAAAATATAACAACGTTTCAGGGTCTCCGCCAAACAGGGTTGTTCTCTCCTCCCTCCTTCACTCCGTGACCCTCCTAATTTGAGCATGTGACCGTAAGAGTCTCCTGGGTAGGAATACAGTAATGTGCAAAGCAGCCGGAGTCAGGGGTTAAGATGGGATTTCTGTCCACACCAATCGTTGTATCGACATAGGTCACCACCGGGAAATCTGAAACATGTCAACACCTGTTCCTACCACACCTTTGCTAACTCCCAGATGTTCGTAGTGAAGATATCGAAAAGTCAGATGGGGCCCCCTGCTTCAGCCCTAACTTCAAACTGAGCTGCAGTAAATGTAGAATGTAGACAAGACCTTTGTCTGATTTCAGACCAGTCTCCAGGTGCACCAACTGATGGTCCAACTCATTAGGACTGAAGACACATACTTGCCTGGTGGTGGTTTGGTGTTAAATAGCCGCCATTAAAAATCCAGGAATAGTTTCAAAAATCCCAGGGAATCAACATCACCAATAGAGTAAATGAGGACAAAGATAAAACGTGTAGAAGAGTGGTTCTGATTTGAAAGGGTATTAATACAAATTCCTTCCCAGATTTGGGCTCTGGGAAAAAACACTCTTAACTTTGTAGTTAAAGACTAATGTGTACAGCACTGATTGGTCAGGACCTATTGCATCACTGAGGCTGCGACCACACACACTAAATAAGCCACTTTCAGTCCATTTTCAATGCACTTTTGAATTGGATTTTGCCAGTTCACACAGGAAAATCCAGTTGGAAAGTGGATTGGAAGTGGATTATTTAGTGTGTGTGATTGTAGCCGAAACTATTCTTCCCAATCCCAAGAGAAGTTTTGCAATTGTTCCTAAAAACCTTTCTATTTCTTTTTTTGGTTAATAAAGTGAACGGTGAATGAATAAATGGACACAAAGAACTTGAAAAATAAGACCATTATCTCACCTGGAACAGGAGGGAACGATTAATTTTTTTGCTGTCAAGTCACAGTTGAAGTATGGCAACCCCATGGGGTTTTCAAGGCAAGAGAAGTTCAGAGATGATTTGCTATTGCCTGCCCTTGCTTACCAACCCTGGTATTCCTTGGTGGTCTCCGATCCAAATACCAACCAGGACTACCCCTGCTTAGCTTCCGAGATTTTATGAGATTGGGATATCCGGGGCTATCCAGGTCAGGATAAGATTAATAGTGCCGGGGGGGGGGCACTGTGGGTAAATTCAAATTTCAAATGTGTTATTTGTAAGAATTGTGGCTTTACTACATATGACCAAAATCTCACATTTGGGCCATTCTGAGATAGCTTAAGTAGTGGATGGTAATAGGGCAGAATTACAGGATATAAATTTTGTAGATAGATAGATAGATGATAGACAGACAGACAGACAGACAGATAGATAAGCGGTATATCAAGTCTAAAGTTAAATAAATAAATAAATAAATAAATAAATAATAATAATAATAATAAATAAATAAATAAATAAAATGAATATGATGTCTCATCAAACAGCCCTTACTAATTAAAATTGTACCCACCAATTAAACTTCTGCTTAATCTGTCAATGAATGCATAAAAGAAACGTTTTTCACAGTTCTAATATCTGATATGATATATGGGGTTATTTTTTCTGAATTACATCTATAAATCTAATGAATTTCGCAACACAACCACTTGGAGAGAAAAATTCGCTCCTGCCCACTTTTCTTTTTTAGAGTGCACAAGTATAACTATTGGCCCACAGAAACACCTTTTGTGTTTCTGCCTTAGAGTCTTATATTACTCTTATATGAGAGCCAGTTTGGTGCAGTGGTTAGGAGCACGGACTCTAATCTGGGTGAACTGGGTTTGATTCCTTACTCCTCCCATGCAGTTGCTGGTGTGACCTTGAGTCAGTTACAAGTTCTCTCAGAGCTGTTCTCTCAAGGGCAGTCCTCAAAAGAGCTCTCTCAGCCCCATCGACCTCATGGGGTGTCTGTTGTGGGGAGGGGAAGGGAAAGGAGATTGTAAACTGTTCTGAGACTCCTTCGGGTAGTGGTATAAATCCAATCTCTTCTCTTCTTCTTCCGTTCTTCCTGACTGGAAGGAAGCAAGGCAGAACTGTGACATGCAGAGTTGCAACAGGCAGCCTCTTCCAAGGGCAAACAGTTCTTCTACATTAGAAGTGATTAATTCAATCATACAGGGTACAGAAATGTGAAAGAATTACCCACCCACCCTACTAAACAGAAGAAGAAAGACCAGAGATAGGAAGCACTGAGAGACAGCAGTCTCCTCAAAGGGCTACTGAATCATGCAGAGACATGACAGGGACCCTCTGGTCAGTGAAAAGACACCAATGGTTTGATTTTATGCTTCACAGCACACTTGCAGTTCCCTTGCGGCTCACCCTTCTGCCCTCGCACCACATTCAAACGTGAAGCCCTCCAGAGATTATTCTTAATCCAGCCTTGTCCTATTCAGTTGTTGTCCCCTCTGCTATGCAACAGGGTGAAGCTTAACGGATTCCCCATCCCCCTTGGTCAACTTGCCTGTGTTCCAAGACAGGCCTGGGACCCTGAGAAGCCGAGAAAGAGCGCCTGGCTGGCCTTGGCGTACTTCTGATCTGAGAGCACAAAGGAAACCCCGCCAGTTTCCCACAAGTTGTCAGGGCAGATTTGGGGGATGACAGTGACGAGGGTCGAGCGGAACACAGGCTTGCGATACAAACATCTCCCCGTCCAAGAGGTGGGCATCTTTCCACCAGCATCTCTCTCCCATACTAACGACAGGGGAACAACATCACGTTTTCCTGCCCCCCGGAGGATGGGGGCCTGACCGAAGCAGGAGGCAGAGCTGGTGGGAAATGGGAAATGTCATGTTTTGTCCTGCTTTCCCGTTAAACGCCATGCCAACAGAGTACCCCAATGGGCAGCCACTTCTCCTCTCTTCCCCTGAGCTTTCTGATCCCTTTCTGTCAGAAAGGATAAATAAAAAGAGTAGAGAATGAGGTTAGCGGAATGACCAACCCCCCCCCCAAAAAAAACACCCCAGAGTTGTGAGAAGGGCTGCTTCCAAAACTCTCCCCATCTCAATTCCCTTCCCCACCCCAGAGCTCCAAATAATCTGGTCTTGTTTCCAGCACAGAACCAGATCCATTGTCACACCTCTATTGTTTCAGTTTTTCTTTGCAAATTCTGTATGGATTGCCTACTGCACATGAGCAGTTTGTTACATTTGTCAGGTCTTTTGTATCATTTCCACCCTGTCTGAATTGCCGATGCAGGGGCACACACACTCATAAAACACTGTGAAAAAAGTAACCTTGATGTTTGTTGCACATACAGTTGTCTCAGGCTTCTGTGTGGCACTGTGGTGCACTCCTCACGGGCAAGATCACACATCCACATCAATAAAACACCATACAAAAAGAATCTTAATGGAACTATAGCAACAAAGATTGCTTCTTTGATGTGTTTCAAAAATGAGTACATGGGCATCAGTAATGCAGAAGAGAAAAGAAGATATCAGGACTGCTT